CCACAAGTGTTAAATTTACATACAGTACGGTGAAACATTTAATATGCATATATTTAAAAAAACTAATCTCGGAGGCGTTTTCTACCAAAGGCGTATTTATTGTGCATTACATTGTAATGATCCTGTGCATCTCATTTTGTCAAAGGATAGCGCTTAATATATGGATTTTACTCCCATTGCATGTGTGCCAATAAGCCGCTGCTAAAACAGCTTGCAGCACATTGGCTGACTTCACCAGTGAACCTGAAATCCTCTTTGACACAGTTACATTTGCTATCACACAGACCTGACGAACTGAATAAAGTCCGCAGAATTCACACCTTTTGATACTCACCGTACTCTTTCTGCCATTTGTTAACATCGCCTTGCTCGGGTTATCTTATTTTTAGCCTGTATTGTTACATCTTTTGTGCAAATAAAACAAAATATCTTTGGAACACCCATTAATGCACAGCTTGATTCTTCATACTTTTCATGATTTTTTTTGGTGTGGATAAATTCTATAATCAGTCTTGGCCAGTAGTAACTAGTTTTGCACAGAGCTTCAACATTATCAATATCAATTGAGTGTCCTTGTTGGCACACATGTTCTGCCACTGCCGACAGTTGTATTTGGGAGTATTTTATATTCCTTTCGTGTTATTTTAGTCTCGTGCTGATCATTCGTCTTGTCTGCCCACCATAGCATTTACCACAAGAGCAATTAATCCGGTGCACACATTCTGTCGATAGCTTCGGTAATACATCTTTAGTACCAGATATTAATTGCTGTCTTTTATGTACCGTGCCAAATCTGACTCGGATGGTTTGTTTTTCCAAACATCTGGCTAGTTTATCAGTTACTCCCGCAATGTACGGTATTTTATAGTTTTAATTACTTGGTCAGTTTCAACGCTCGTGTTATTTGATTTGGTTTTGGCATTCAGTGCCCTGTTGATTTGTACATCATTGTAACCGTTTAATTGCAGCGCTTCTTTAACATATTTAATTTCACTTCGCAGACAATCACCATCTGACACTTTCTTAGCCCGACGTATGAGCGTCTTGATGAGAGAGGATTTCTGTACGGGGTGATGGTGTGACTCTGCATTCAGATACGCGTCAGTGTGCATTTTCTTTAGGTAAACGCCGTGTGATATTTTACAATTTCGACTGCGCCCGAGAAGAAAATCCAGAAATGAGAGAGTGTCGAGGTCGCTAGCCCCCGAGATCCCTCCCTCGACAATGCCAACGGCCGGGCCAACATCATCCCTCGCTCCCCCGCTACTGTGCGAACCGCCGCTGAGCTCCTCACCCATGGTGTGGAAGCCGCCGCTCGAGGATTCCCCTCCACCGCGGGTCCGCGCAATGGGCATGGTCAATTACCGAGTAGTATCCTGCCCCTCTCTACTACGATACTTCCCTTCCCAATCGCGCGCCTGCAACCCACACGGAGCGAACGCACGCACGCCCACACACACGCCGCTCCGCGCACTCCAACTCAACTCACGTTATACTCGCGCACCTGCATCACACACGGAGCGAACACACGCGACACCCACTCACGCACCGCTCTGCGCAGCGCTCCCCCGAGGCGAGCCGCAGCACTACAGAATCACTGCGTACCCACGCGCAACCCGCGCGCTCAGCTCGGCGCAGCGCTCACTCACGTGGCGAACCACTGTGCACACAGCGCACCCACACGCTCACACTGCACGACAAGATCACGCGAGACCACGCTTCGCTATTAATGATTTATTATATGCTACCTGCGAATTGATGTTGAATCAGTGAGTCGACGAGGCTGGTCTATTCCACCCAAACCTGTACCTATCCCCTATTTATCGGCTTACGCTACCCTACTTCACCTCCCCACTCACTGTTTGGTGCCCGCGGAGGTTCGCTGCTCTCTGCGCTCACAGCGCACCTCGATGCGTCGCACGGACGTCCGGGTCGCTGGCTGGAACTCCTGCTGGTCCGCTGGCCTGGAGAGAAGAGAGCTATTTCCCCTCTGCGCCCCTCTATTTATCCTCCCTACCTCAAAGGGGATGCTGCGCTAAACAATGGGCTCGCGATCCTCTGGCACGCGCACGGCGGTTCTGGGCGCTGTTGATATGCTAATCAGTGTGCTGCGTGCAAGGCGTAAATCCTAATTAATCCCTTACCCTCCCTAACAATGGGGCCTGCGCGCTCAAGCGCAATTATCCCAACCCTCCATGACTATGCGCAACAGCCCCTGTGATCCCGCTATTCATGCTGTCCCGTGCCTCCCCTGCTTGCCCCGTCGACTCGTGGGGGTGTGTGTGGGGGGAAATGCGCCTCAACCGCGGTGGCCGAATGCCCCACGCCGCGACCACACAATATTAAGGCCGGCCGCAGCGCCGCGGTGCCACGTAGCACGGGGGAGGTCATCCAATTCCCTGATCGCCGGAAACCGTGAGAATTAATCCCGATAAGGGTCTCTCGGATAAAAACCGGTCGGCCAGGCGACCTCCCCTCGGAGCTCTATGGGGGGGGGGGGAAATGAGTGCGGGTGTGTTCATGTGAGGTGAGGGGGACGCGGGGTCGGCTCCGTTGCTTGGTGGTGGCGAGGTCGGGGATTTGGTGCCTGCCGAACGACTTCGCGGCGGCGGCATCACAAGAGTTATGTCAACTTCTACTTCCATAGTGAACTGAGATGATTTAGAAATTCGTTAAGCGTATCTTTGCCGTGTGGCCAGACCACCAATATGTCATCCACATATCTATAGCAAGCAGAGGGTTTCAGTGTGCTTGAAGCTATTGCTCTTGCTTCAGTCTTCCGTGTACTGCTCATCCCGTTCCCCACGTTATTCATCCACGTTCTCACCCCCCCACTCACAGTTTTCCTCACTGCGCGGGTGCCTCTCTCTACTCTCCACCTCCTCATTCTCTTGATCATCCATCCGGAGTTCACCTACCCACGTGTTTTAATCCCATATCCTTCGCTTAATCATCCACGCGGAGTTTACTTACCCACGTGTTTCAATCCTACATCCTTCCTTAATCATCCACCCAGAGTTCACCTACACACGTGTTTCAATCCCACATCCTTCATTAATCATCCACCCGGAGTTCACCTCCCCACTATTTCAATCCTACATCCTTCCATAATAATTCACCTGGAGTTCACCTACCCACGTGTTTCAATCCTACATCCTTCGCTTAATCATCCACCCGGAGTTCACCTACCCACGTGTTTCAATCCTACATCCTTCGCTTAATCATCCACCCGGAGTTCACCTACCCACGTGTTTCAATCCTACATCCTTCTTTGATCATCCACCCGGAGTTCACCTCCCCACTATTTCAATCCTACATCCTTCCATAATAATTCACCCGGAGTTCACCTACCCACGTGTTTCAATCCTACGTCCTTCCATAATAATTCACCCGGAGTTCACCTACCCACTTGTTTCAATCCTACATCCTTCCTTAATCGTAATAATTACACGACAGGACACCCCTGGTAAAATCGAGGCTTCTCCAATGGACTGGCTTATCCAGATATAAAAAAAAATTAATATACTGCAGACAGCCTTTATGGCTGGTTTTAGGAAAATAGTCATATTTCCAAAATAAATAAATAAATAACTGACTTTTTTTTTTTCATCTAAAATAATTACTCGAACCAAAAAATATATATATACAAAAGCGAATCGAAGGAAAACCCGGGCGTGAATTAGACGGTTACATGACCTCGCATAGGCTCGTGCAGTGCTAATGACGGCTGCACGCGCACAATGCGCACGCAGCCGTCATTAGCACTGGACGAGAAAGGCTGATCGTAGATTCGACGCGGATGCTCCTAGATCCGTCATTTCCCCCGTTCTCATTGACAAAGTCGGGTGGCAATTTTCGCGACGCATCACAAATAATTCGTCCACACTGTCCTGCAACATTATCTTTTTCTCTATCAAGGCAATCTCATCGCATGGAAATTAAACGCATTTCGCCCTACCACTTGAGGTCGGGGATGAAAGCCTTTAAAACAAAAAAAAAACCGTGCAATATCCTAAACACAACCACTCCATGACCTCACCAAAGATTAAAGTCGCCTACCGCCGCATCACCTCCATCGGCACCCCCACCCCCGCATCATCATCACCACCACCACCACCTCTGCGTGCCATGGAATCTGTCTATAGAGTGTTGGGGCAACGTTGGCTGTCCGCGGGTAGCACCTATGAAGATTGGCAACTTCACGCGAGGTGGCTAATACCACGCCCGGTCGCCTTTGTCTCTCTTTCTTCTACACCTGTACCATCGGGGACTCGGCTTCGGCCGAGTGGACTTTGGGAAGAGGCTGCACGGCTTCACATATTTCGTGAGCGGGAATCGAAGTCTGATCGGCCGCGGGTTCGTAGCGCAGTGGCACTAACCACGGCGCCACCGCTCTCCCCCACGTGTGCTTCTCACAATGACAAAGACCCCCCGCGTAGGCTTAACGGGCTTTTGGGGCAAGTGCTGTTAGCGAGCACCTATGAGGTGGTGTGGCCAGCACCGCGTGCGACCGCCTTTGTCTCCCCAGTGGCGATGTCTACACACCGCACCAGGTACTCATTTGAGGCTGAGTCGACCCACGGGAGGCGCAGTTACCCGGTTCAGATTATTCGTCACCCGACGTTGGCCCTGAGCGGGAATCGAACTCGGTTCGCCGGGTTCGCAGCGCAGCGCTCACTGCTACACCGCGCACTAACCCCTACGCTTCCTATCCGCCGGTGGAAACGAGCCACCTCTGCCATGCATGTGCGGGTGACAATCGAGGATGAAGGTAGGGCGAGAGGTGGTGCTTGCTTCGGGTCTGGAAACCCCCTCTCCCCCCCCACCCTACAGAATAGTCTCTCCCATGCATCCCTCCTCCTGGAGGTTGTGCACACTCACGCACGCGCGTGTGGTGAGTGTTATAGAGAGAGAGAGAGCGAGCGAGAGAGAGAGAGGAGACACGGGCGTTACACGAGCTCTTGTCAGCTGCTCAGCCAAACCGCGCACGTAGCCTCCACCGCGCACGCACTAGCGACGTCACCGCCAAGAGCTCCTACATCATCCCACACGCGAGAGAGAGAGAGCGTCAGAGAGAGAGAGAGCGCGCCAGAGAGAGGGAGCCAGAGAGAGAGAGAGCCAGAGAGAGAGAGCTGCACACGACAGACACACGCAAACATAACATACGCACAGCGAGGGAGGCTGTTACAGGAACGGTATTCGATTAAAGTCGTGCATACAGACGCACTCCGCACGCGGAGTGGCGTGTGCATGCGTAGAGAGTTGCAATTTGCGAGCGCCTGCCGTCATCACATCGCCAGAAGCAGTGACAACACGAGCGGCACCACCGCCTGTGCCGGGAGACTGCGCTGCTGCCTGGCGAGGTCTTCTCGGGGAAAGACATCGCGTGCGACGAGACAGCAGCAACTCATCACCACCACCACGATCATCATCCTAAACATTATCGTCTGCAGCTTCAGTGTCTCCATCACAGCCACCGCTATCATCACTTGCATCACCACCTTTTTCAGCATTAGCATCATCATCATCGCAACGGTGTACATCATCACCACCGGCATCATCATCTCGACGTTCATCGCCATCATCAGCACCACCAGCAGCACCTCTACCAGAACCATCATCATCAGCACCACCAGTAGCACCTCCACCAGCACCATCATCATCATCAGCACCACCAGTAGCACCTCTACCAGTATCATCATCAGCAGCACCACTAGCACCATCATCATCATCATCATCAGCACCACCAGTAGCACCTCTACCAGTATCATCATCATCAGCACCTCCACCAGCACCATCATCAGCACCACCAGCAGCACCTCTACCAGCACCATCATCATCATCGGCACCACCACCACCAGCACCACCTACATCAGCACCGTCGTCGTCATCGCCTCCATCAGCAACTGCACCACCACCACAACCATCACCTCTCCGTGCCATGGAGCCGCCTGAAACAGTGTCCGAGCTGCGCCAGAGGCTACTGAAGGGCGTCAAGAAAGAGGTAAATGCATTACATCTGTAACGTTCACAACGCTGTCATCGTTGCAATAAATGCAAGGTAGTGCCGTGTTTAAATATAACGCATAAATGCAATGTAAAATGTCATCATCATCACCACCATCTGTAAACGTTACATTATGTCTATATTACGTATTGTACCATCTTTACAGTCTGTTATATTCCTGTGTCTGGCAGCAATATGGTTCAGGAGCTGCGTGCCAATGTCGAGGTTCTGCTGCTAGCCACGTTGAGAGAGGGCATTCAGGAGCGAGAGTCGGCGTTACGGGCACGTTACACGCGTGTAAAACGTATGTAGCGTGTCATACGTAACCTCTAATACAGAGTGCACACATCGTGTGTTTTAAATAATGCAGAGGCGACTGAATGAAAAAAACTCGTGCTGCCGCTGCTGCTGCTGCTGGTGTTTGTTGTTGTTGTTTGTGGTGGTGGTGGTGGGCGAGTGTTCAATTCAATTCCCTGTTGCGCTTAGCCGGAGGGGGGGGGGGGGGTAGACATCCAGACGCGTGCAGCAGCAGCAGCAGGAGGGCAACAGATACAGATCCCATTCATAATCAAGATCTTTGGGTTAGATCGCGTTATTTATCAATGTGTCGCATTCATTCTGGAAAAATCGCCCGAAGATGCTGGATGTATCTTTACTGAAGGCTTTCGTGACTGTAGGAATTCATATTCTTTGGGTCTTTCGGTAAAGTCACGTAGAAGGGAAATAATAAAATAATAAATATAAAACATAATAAAATAATTCTCACGACATTTCGGCCACAACGCAAGCAGCCTCCTCAGGTGAAGAACAGGTCTGTCGGAAAGACAGCGTCTGAATGAATAAATGTCTCACATTCATTCATTGAATGAGACATTCATTCAATAAGACATTCATTCATTCAATGAATGTTTCACATTCATTAATTGAATGAGACATTCATTCAGACGCTGTCTTTCCGACAGCCCTGTTCGTCACCTGAGGACGGCTGCTTGCGTTGTGGCCGAAACTTCATGAGAATTGTATTTTATTATGTTTTATTTTTATTACTTCCCTTCTACGTGACTTAACCGAAAGAACCAAGAAGATGAATCCCAGCAGTCACGAAAGCTTTAAATCGAAATTTATTTCTCTCTTGTAAACGCGACACATTTTTTAATGATTGGCCGTGTCGGGTGGTGGAGGGTTGCGACACATTGATAAATAACGCGAAATCCAACCCAAAAATCTTTATCATCAATAATACTGGTCGCGAAAGCCTGCCACGTGTTCAACTATGCGCAGATCCCGTTTAATAGGCGCCGCTGTTTGTCACGTCAGAGGGTGCGCGTCGATTGATGCAGCACATCTGGCTGTGACGGTCCCACCTGATGACGGAGACTTGTGTTGCCTCCGAAACGTCGTGATTTTTATTTTTATTTTATTAATTTCATTTTTTACCTACATGGTGACTTTACCGAAAGAACTAAGAGTATGAATCCTTGCAGTCACGAAAGCTTCAAATCTAGAATTCCTCCTCCTGCCCAACGTTTCTCCTGGCGGCGGAGGAGGAGGTCCCCGATTCATTTGTGTTTGTCCCGCTACTGATTCTGTCATAAATTGCGAGCAATCGCTGCTTGCCCCCAGTCACACACGTGCATCACACACACGCCTCTCTCTCTCGCTTAACAAAAAAACAAAGATCCCCCGTATAGCCTGTAACAGACTGTTGGGGCAAGTGCTGTTAGCGAGCACCTATGAAGGCCGGCACGGCACGCGAGGGGGTGGGTGACCAGCACCACGCCAGGCCGCCTTTGTCTCCCCAGTGGCGATGTTTTTACGCACCACGTTCTCATTTGAGGCTGAGTCGACCTAGGGGAGGCCCAGGACAGTTTCAGATAATCGTAACTGATGAAGGTCGTGAGCGGGAATCGAACTCGGGTCGTCAGGTTCGTAGCGCAGTGCACTGACCGCTACACTACCGCTCCTCACACACTCACACACTACACACCACACTCTACACTACACAATACACACTCCACACACTCACACACTCCACACCACACACTCACACACACCACACACTCCACACACACACTACAACCCACACACTCACACACTCCACACCACACACTCACACACACCACACACTCCACGCACACACTCCACACTCCACACCACACACTCACACACACCACACACACTACACATACACTACACACCACACACTCCACACCACACACGCACCATACACTCACACACACACACTACACACTCACACACTCCACACACTCACACACACACCATACACTCACACACCACCCACTCCACACCACACACTCCACACCACACACACACAACATACACTCACACACCACCCACTCTACACCACAAACTCCACACCACACACACACACACCATACACTCACACACCACCCACTCCACACACACACACTCCACACACACACTCACACACTCCACACACACACTACACACCACACACTCACTCCAACCACGCACTCACACACTCCACACCACACACACACTCCACACACACTCCACACACACACTCCACACTCCATACCACACACCACGCACTCACACACTCCACACCACACACACACCACACACACTCTACACTACACACTCCACACCACACACACACTCACACACACAATCACACACTCCACACACACACTCACACACTCCACACCACACACTCACACCACACCACACACTCACACACTCCACACCACACACTCACTCACACACACACCACCCACTCCACACACACACTACACACCACACACTCCACACCACACACACACCACACACTACACACCACACACTCACACACACACCACACACTCCACACACACACTACACACCACACACTCACACACACACACCACACACTCCACACCACACACACTCCACACACACACACTCCACACTACGCACCACACACTCACACACTCCACGCACACACTCCACACCACACACACTACACACACACTCCACACAACACACTCACACACTCCCCACCACACACACTCCACACTCCACACTACACACCACACACTCACACACTACACACCACACACTCACTCACACACACACCACACACTCCACACACACACTACACACCACACACTCCACACTACACACCACACACTACACACCACACACTCCACACACACACTCCACACACACTACACACCACACACTACACACCACACACTACACACCACACACTCCACACACACCCCACACACTACACACCACACACTCACTCACACACACTCACACACTCCACGCCACACACTCACACACACTCACACACTCCACACACACACTACACACCACACACCCACACACTCCACACCACACACTCCACACACTACACACACTCCACACACACACTCCACACCACACACTCAACACCACACACTCACTCACACACACACCACACACTCCACACCACACACTCCACAAACACACTACACACCACACACTCACACACTCCACACACACACTCCACACCACACACTCACTCACACACTCCACACCACACACACTCCACACACTCACACACACCACACCCTCCACACACACCACACACTCCACACACACACTACACACCACACACTCACACACTCCACACCACACACTCACGCACACCACATACTCCACACACACACTCCACACACACACTCCACACACACACTCCACACCACACTCACACACACACACTACACACCACACACTCACACTCCACAACACACACTACACACACTCTACACCACACACACACTATACACCACACACTCACACACTCCACACACACACTCCACACCACACACTCACTCACACACACACCACACACTCCACACACACACTCCACACCACACACACTCCACACACTCACACACACCACACCCTCCACACACACCACACACTCCACACACACACTACACACCACACACTCACACACTCCACACCACACACTCACACACACCACATACTCCACACACACACTCCACACACACACTCCACACACACACTCCACACCACACTCACACACACACACACTACACACCACACACTCACACTCCACAACACACACTACACACACTCTACACCACACACACACTACACACCACACACTCACACACTCCACACCACACACCACGCACTCACACACTCCACACCACACTCCACACCACACACACTCACACACTTCACACACACTCCACACTACACACACTACACACACTCACACACTACACACTCCACACTCACGCAAGCGTGCCCACTTATGATATTTGGTATCAGCTGTTGGGAAATATTTTGCGGGTAATGGCCGACCCGACACGCGCACCACGACTTGCATGAAATGCGAGGCAAATGAGGCAGACGAATTTTTTAAATCGCTTTATTTGACCAAGTAAGGCCCCACTGAGCTTTGTAGATCACAAATAACAGTCAAATTAAGTGGCTTACCGTCGTGTGGAAATTCATAGCGGCCAAAAACTCTAAAAAGCCACGTTGATTCTAAACGTGGAGGGGGGAAAAAACCGGAGTACCCACGGAAAAATCAACGCGACCACGGGGGAGAGAGACACGCAAACTCCAAAATATACAGCAGCAGGCATCGTCAGGGTTGGGATAGAACCCACAACCTCCTGTATACCAGGCGAGGGAGTTAACATTTTGATCCCGTGGCGCCCTCTGAGGGAATTGCCAAGCCAAGTCACACCGCAGTGATAGCAGCAACGTAGCTGGAGTGACTTGTGTAATTAATCGATTTGCCAAACAGGAGTGAATATATTTGCAATTAAATGTCCCGCTTTCTCCTGCCTAATGGGAGGAAACATGCAATTGACAATGCTTGAACAATTTAACCTGTAACTTGTGTTTATGGTGGAATAATAGTACGCGACATACGATGGGTATTTATTTCAATATAATACTGTGAAGGTATTCATCACACACACCAGCAATTGTATAGGGTATCCGTC